ATGCTTGCGGCCTCAATTCATTTCAGTTGTTGCCTTTTAAATCAATATATTGATCCAAATAGTCCGATCGTTACACCCTTAGTTTCACCCTTAGAGTAACAACATGGGAACTTGTATGGCAGATGCTGCAGAAAGGGATTTAAAAAAAAAAAAGAGAAAGAAAAAGTATTTATAATTGTTGATACGGTGTATGCAAATGTTTGCATTGCAAAAGTCTTAACAAGGAACCTTTTTTTTTTAAGCGTATAGATTTCACAGTCGTTCCTTTATCATCATAAATAACAAAAATCGCTTAAAATGATTTTTTTCCCCATCATTTATCTACTTTTTAACATTTCTTGTACAAGAACTGAAAAATAGGTCTACATTTTCCTTATATCACCCAGAAACCAGAAACCTCAAATCTACTAGAAAATTGAATGCTCTTGAATTTTCACTCAATGAGCGAAAACTTTCATATGCACATTTTTTTTTTCCCCCAACGGAGGCTAAAACTCTGGACACAAATTAAAAACAAAGTACACAGCAGGTATGGTGAGGAACACAGAAATGGCCAGAAAACAGAGATTCTTTTATACCAGCGTACACAGCCTAGAAACAAACTCTCACATTCACTTTGTCACTTCAGGGAATTTGATGAGGTGTGAAGTTTTTCTACAGGGGAAAAAAAAACCTTTCTTCTTTATGAAGATTAAAAAGAGCAAAACAGCATTACTCCTTTCTACCTTGTTTTTCATCCTGAGATGAAACGCTGCTGATGAAGTTTTGCTGACGCGGTCTTCTGGGCTCAGCATTGTTAATATAACCTAGACCTAAAAGAGTTTGAGCTGAGGAAGGACAGCATGGGAATCAGAAAGATAAAAAAAAAAAGTTTACTTATTCATCCATGAGAACTTTTTTCCCTCTTATGCAATTCCAAGAGGGAGCCAAAGAAGCAGCTGGCAAAAATAACAAATGAGGGCTAATATCAAAAGTATTCTGGACAGAAATAAAAGAAGTAGAATGTCTTTTTAAAACCCAGGAAGAACAAGAAGAAGAGGAAGAAAAGCGACTTTGTAAATACATTAGGAATTAGCCTGGGGAGAACGCGGACCTCGTGAACATAAGTGCCGCCTTGTGCTCCTTCCCCCAGGGCCTGACAGTAGATCATCTGAACAATATTTTCAGCAAGCTGTCTCTAGTATTCTCACACAAACCATCCTGTTTACCCGTCTCTAATTAATTCTGAATTGCTATGCAGATTCTTCTACAGAATTCTCAGAACAAGCTCATAAGGCTGCCATGACACAAGCTGTGAGCCACACGGTAAACAAATCCATAAACTCTCCCTCACAACCACAGAGCAGAAACTCAGCGACGCCAAATCCACCTCGCTGATTACGAAATGTTATTCAAAATGCAGCTCACAGATGATACAATAACATAACATTTGTCTAGGTGATGAAATTATCTCTATATATGACAGCATTGATTCTGTCTATTTTGCTGAGCAATACCCAGATGACTATGGAGAGTCTAAGGTACTGAATTATTGAGTGACAAGCAAAAAATCTGGTTCCTTCATTTTTTTTCCACAGCTCTTGATTTCTCGTGGCTCATGCTTCTATATCTATATATACACAGTCTACTTATACTTAAAAAACAAAAAAGCTAAACAAATATAATGCCAAGTTATGTTAAAGGCAATGTACTTGCACTTTTTTCAACCATCTGAATATTAGAACTTGCTTCGTACATGCATTTCTATGTTAAAACTGACTTACACTCGCACTGCATTATGGGAAAACATGTCTGTGTGGCCTCCAAGACTACACCATGTAACCGCAACTATGAAAATAAAGCTTGTTCGAATGGGTTTTATGTGTTTGAGACACCTTAAAATAACTGACATTCTAGTAAGAAGACTCTAGACATAAACTCTAGCACACGAGGCAGACGTTATTGTTATTCCAAACAGAAAACAGAACTGAAAACCATAAAACTGATGTCCTTTAGTACAATGCAATAAAATACTACAATGTCGTTTTACCTCCAAATATATATATATAAATTGTTTATAACATGTGAAGCCAGCCAACTGGTTCTTTTCGACTGCTGCTAATGCTGCATCACAGAGTAGAGTAACACACTTGAAAGAAAGCGCTCTCTACCCTCTTCTGCATACATTAGCTCTCTGACACCTGCAGTATGGCTATTTTTTTATTGTCTATTTTTCCCAATGCTGTCAGTATTCTTTTACCCGAATATTACATACTTTTATATATATTTTGTATATATTTTTATGCTATTTATAGTACTAATTATACTATTACATATATTTTTATACCTTTTACTTCAATATTAAAAATATATCTATTTTAGCCTAATTTTGTAAATAATTTTACATGACAATTACTGTCTATATATATATATATACATATATATATATATATATATATATACCACAATGGTGTTTTTTTACACAATATTACTGTCAATTTTATTTTTCATCCCAATACTCTCAATTTTCCCCAACATTAGTGTCAAAAAATTTTTTTAACCCTATTATTGTCACTATTTTTACCCCAATATTGTTGTAGCAATATTAAATATTACTGAGAATTTTTTAGATATTGTGTACAATACATAATATTTAAATACAATAAATAATATTGATGAAGTCCTTGTTAACAATCATGATTTTTTTTTTTTTAGAAGATCCGAAAAATTAATTACACTTTCATAAGAAGTCCACCATAGATTAGTTTCTGTCATATTTCTACGTACTAACAGCATCAGTGCTTTTATTTAATCAGTGCACAAATGAGATGCAGTATTTATTTTCAGACATCCTCAAACATGCGGTCAGGTTCCTTGTAGTTCTGAAAACTTTCTCTTTTTTTTTCAAAAACTCAACTGTCCATCTCTCAAGGTTGATACACATGAAAATATCCATTAATCATATTTCAATATAGTATTGATTGCTTTAGAGAATGTATTATTCTGTGTTATTTCAGGTCTGGTTTATATCTGCTCTGAGGCGTGGAATCACAATACAAGGAGCAATTTAAAGTCACAAGAGTCTACAGACTACAGAGGAGAAAAAAAATTCATTATTGATTTAAGAAAGTAAGGCTGGTCCAGCAACAAATTCCAGCATAGTCACATTTTCAGCTTCATGCATTTTTGACCAAAAGGCAAATGTGCTGTTGGAATTCAATCAAAATTGTGAGGCTTTGGCTCAAGCTTAACGATTTAAACTCCTATGAGCTGTAGACGAATCCAGACTTACATTCCTCACTCTTGTAGCTACATACTTTTTCTGCTAGGATTACTGGATCTACTGAATAATTCATACTAGTTACTAAATAATTTTGCTTTACCATGAATAATGAAATAGTAAGACAAAAATAAAAACTGATAGTAATATATAAACCCTTTATGACCCTTTAAGTACTGTAAGTTGCAATGTGGGGCCTTCATGGGACTTGTTGGTCCAGCACCCCGATCGGATTGAGATCTGGGGAATTTGGAGGCCAAGTCAATACCTTAAACTCTTTGTCATGTTCTTTGTCATGACCATTCTGCAATGTGCACACTGCAAAAATTAGGGAATACCATTGCCATGAAGGGGTGTACTTGATCTGCAGCAATGTTTAAGTAGGTGGTATGTGTCAGAGTAGCATCCACATGAATGCCAGGAGCCAAGGTTTCCCAGCAGAACATTGCCCACACCCACACACACACACACCCCGGCTTCCACATGATGTAAAAGAAAACATGCTTCATCAGACCGGGCTATCTTCTTCCAGGGGTCAGCCTGGGCACTCTAACTGGTCTGACACCTTTCTGACACCTTTCTATCATAGCCAGCATTAACTTTTCCAGCAGTTTGTGCAAAAGTAGCTCTTCTGTGGGATCAGACTGGACGGACTAACCTTTGCTCCCCATGCGTATCAATGAGCCTTGGGTGCCCATGACCCTGTCGCCGGTTCACCGGTTGTCCTTCCTTGGACCACTTTTGGTAGATACTAACTACTGCATACAGGGAAAACTCCACAAGACCTGCTGTTTTGGAGCTGCTCTGACCCAGTCGTCTAGCCATCACAATCTGGCCATTGTCAAAGTTCCTCAGATCCTTACGCTTGCCCATTTTTCCTGCTGCCAACATATCAGCTTCGAGAACTGAGTGTTTACTTCCTGCCTGCCGCTTGACAGGTGCCATTGTAACGAGATAATCAATGTTATTCACTTCACCTGTCAGTAGTTTTAATGTTATGGCTGATCGGTGTATATCCTACAGGCTTCTGGAATATATTATAGGGAAGATAAATGCACATCACATAAGTGTGACTGGCAGCTGGTTCTGATTAGCTGACACAGTCTTAACCTTTAAAATGTAATCTAATTTAAGTATACAGTTTACTTCCGTACGTACCTTAATTATTGATTAAAGGCTGTTAATTAGCTGATTCATTAATTCAGGTTTATTGGGAGCAGAGAAAACACTAAACTGAATGATTAATTTGAATGATTTCTTGTGCTTGTTGCCATATATGCATGTATTATTCAACTTCACCAAACAGAGACTTCTGGTTTGTGCTGCTCACTTCAGCACTCCCAGTTCTGCAAAATCACACACAGTCTCTATCCTAGTAATTGTCGTCTTAGTACAGTGGGGTCCTTGAAGTTCTGACAGGAAACAACATTATGATCTCTTCACCATTTTTTGAAGAGAAAAGCTGAAACCTTCTGATCTCCTCTTTTCGTATATGAGTAAATACATCCATCTCCTGTGCAGTACAGAGTCCACGGATAGATAAAGACTTTAGAGAGACAGAGAGAGAGAGAGAGAGAGAGATGAGTATCTGTAGTCTCCGGGCACATCCACACAGTGAACCGAAATGCTTACAGCTCCAATTTGTGCACACCAATGAAGAACCGCAGGAGGTCATTTAGCCTTCATTGCGACTGGCACCGAGAAAGCACCGTTGCACGCAACCCTAGTGGCTGGGGTTGGTTGGGAATCAGGAATCGAACCTGTGCCACAGCGGTGAGAACACTGTGGCCTAACCACTAGTCCTCCAGGGACCCCCAAGACCATATTTAAAAGACAGAATTAAAACTGACACTACAATTGGACGAAAATAGCATACACAATTACTCAAATAACACAAAACAGCATTTTTTTTTTTTTGGTTGTTCTGTTAAAGGCTTCATAGCACCAACCTTCAAAGCAGCTTCCAGATGTAGGATTAGATCCAAAATGAGCAAGCCGGAGGAGACAGTGGCGAGGAAAATCTTCTACCAGAGGTAACACAAGTCACAAACCTTGAGAGGAACTTGTCTCAAAAGGGAGTCTTCTGGGTGACACCAGCTAGTAGGATTATAAATCATTACAGGTGTAAAAGAGTAAAGACAAATGGTAATAAGTGTGTTCAAACTACGTTCAATATGAGCACATCATTCTGGGGCGAGCACAGGACAGTGTTTATGATTACAGCAGTAGCTCTTAGGTAGAAATTTACAGTATTTATGTGACATTATGCAACGGCTAGTTCCGGACCACTAATATGATTGGTTGAGCGGTGTTCTGAGAGTGCCTATATTTACTATAACCACACTGGGACGTTTCCGTGTGTGTATCGCTCCGCTCGTCTGTGATCACCATGTAAAATTCCGCTTCCTAGTTCAAAGTGGTTATTACAGTAGTGTTAGCGACATCATCAGCAGACATGGCAAATGATACTGTTCAGGAATATACATAACGTTTGATTTAAATTATGAAAGCTTTGCAGCTGAAGATGAAAAGGAAGAAGGGACACCAATTTTACAAGAGGCACCTTTAACAGGAATGTGCAAATCAATGTGAACTAGCTAGCTAGCTAGCCGATGGGCTATAAAGTGAGTGCGGCTTCTTTGGGATCTATTATAAACATAATAGAACATTTTGCATCCGAAATGTGACTTACTTGCGGTTGTACGGAATATCGACACAGCTATGATTACCTATGGCCAAATCAGAGCCGTGCCGATATTCAGTATAGCCGCACTCTTGCTCGTGCGATATTGCTTAATTATCCTCTGAAGCAAGGGTCAGGGTTAGACTAAAACTCTTTTTGACTAAAAGTGAAAATCTTTAGGAAGGCCATGTGGCCACATCCACAGCAGCAGAAGATGAGTCACAAGTGCAGAAGCTCCAAGAAGAAGACCTTCAGGATAAAATGATTTTCTATTTTCTGTTACATGGTATAGATGACAGCATGTAGGATTCTCAGTGCTAGCTATGGAGCGAGCTAGTTTCTCTGGAGTTCATCTAGTCTGGCTTATAGTTTATTTCTACGACAGTTCCCAATAAAAGATCATGGTCTGAGCTGAATCTAAAGATGTATTAGCTAACATATTATCCAGCGAGTTTATGCACAGCAGCTCCGTTCCTCTTTAGATAGCTAATGCACAATAAACCATATTCTCTTTATCTGATATTATCTTCATCATATCGACTTGACAGGTCAGTTATGAAATCTGACTGCTCTTTTTGGACTTTTGTGACATTAGACAAACATTAGTTAGGACCATCACAGATGCCTTAAATGAGAGACCAGGATTTTTCCATTTATACTTTATTTTTGCCTTTTTTTTTTTTTTTTACTGAAAGATGGACATTACCTGTTCTCTCTCATTCATATGTCAAGCTGCCAGCAGCCTCTAATCTTGATACTGTCTTCGATAAAGGCAGATTCGTTCAACCTCTTCCTGGAAGCCTAGCAGAAAGTCCAACGATTTACATCAGTTAAACGTGACTAATACGTCACTTCTTGACAGACGATGTGGCTATTTAATCATAGTCTAGCATATAAATGTTGATTTGTTTTTAAACATGAATACGAATTCGTTTATTTTCACCATTCATTGCACTGAAATATAGCTTAGAATGACATGTTTAGAAAATGTAATCCATATGCAAGGCATATTATTATTCTTTTAATATACTGCTTACAAGCAAATATTATTAATTCGCACTTGAGCATCTGAGGATTTAATTATCAGTATCCTTAAAGAATAACTGTGTTAAAGTCTCCTGAGTGGCACTTGACTGTAATTAAGTTCAACAGTTATTTTACTATTTTGTAAAAATAGCTTTTACAGGCTTTGAAGCTGCCAGGCATTGAGAGCATTTTTTATTTTTTTTTGTCAAAAGCACCAGCATTGAAGGAAAATAATTGCTGAACATGTTTGCATGGGTCAGTAGAATTATATTATTATGCATTAAATCAAAGGGAAAAAATGGGGCAAGTAGGGCAATGCCGTGACAGGAAATAATTTGTATATAGTAATTTCAAAGGTTTTATGAATTAAGTGATTATTTATTCAAAAATTCTTTCTAAGGTTCGGGTTTATCTATCTATCTATCTATCTATCTATCTATCTATCTATCTATCTATCTATCTATCTATCTCTTTGCATTATGACAATGGTCATCATTATCAACAACTACTATTATAGTTATTATAGTTATTATTTAATTATCATAGTTATTAACCTAATTGACTGGTCACTTGTATTGAAAGGGCTTGAAATTTTGGGACATTAGTGTCTAATTTTCCAGTACAAAGCTCAAAAATGCATAAATAATGTCAATTTGAAACCAAAATGAACCTTTTAAAACAACTAAGGAAAATGCTGTTATTTTTATTTCATTTTTAAAATGACAAAACCGATTTAAGAACATATGTTACGAAAACGATTAAAACGTTTTGAATTTATATTTTAACACAACTGTAGGTGGAAAATTCATGAACAAAAATCTCTAATGGTGCTGATAATTAAATATGATGGTCCATATTTGCCTACCTTTAAACTTTTTTTTTTTTTTTTTACACTAAAAGAGATTCTCAGCTGTAAAACGTTTGCATACCCCTGGTCTGTGTCACCATGTGTACACACTATCCATATGTCCACACATAGTTCATTTCTTTATTTCTTCCTTGTCACGAAACCCCCTCAGCATATTCCGCCTGTTCTGGCACAGTTCCCTCGTTCCCTTTCCCAGTCCTGTGTTTGATTGGTCAAAGAAAAAGACTGATTTATTTACTGAAGGTCAGTCTGCTCATCTCGCTATTGTCCATAGGAGGAACCACCACAGCTGTGTATGCTTAATTACCATGGAAACGGTTTCGGCCCGGTCCAGTCAGGCTTCAGCATGTGAGCAGCTGCAAAAACAAAAAGAGTCCTGCGTTGAGATTAGAAACGTCAATCAACAGGACACGGGAACTGGAGGAGGAGGCTCGAGGTCACTTCTTAGGGCCCCTCGAGACCAACTTAGCTGTTATTTAGCTGTTTTTCCTGTCTTTAATATGTCACTACTTTACTTTACTTTACTTCAGCAGGGAAGCTGGATTTCTAGCGAGGATGGCTGAGCAGCCCAGTCACCCCTGAAACACTGGAAAAGCACTGGAAAAGTTATTATTGCCCTGTTTTCTAGAGAGTTGTGTCATTGCTGTGTCAAAAAAAGCCCATGTGGAGCACAGATAAGCATATTTATGCTTAATGGTGCACCAACATATTATTTAAGTAAGATTAATGTTTTAATCTGAGTTTTCTGTGATTTAAAAAAAAAATAGCATAGGCTCATTTCCTGAGCTGAAGCTGAGCTGCACATCCAGAACAAATGAATATTTAAAGTCTGAAAAACTGATTAATCCCCTAATTCCATAATGGTATAGAAAGGATTTAAAACTGTGACAGATTTCAAACTACAACAACACCCTACCTGACTTTTTTTTCAACCCCTTTTTCTCTCATGTCACTTTATCCCTTTCCTATCTAAATCCACGAGCATTTCAGCGTGACAGAATTAAAATAACTTTTAGAGTGGAGTCGCAATCCTGTTTCTGACTGAAGCATTAGACATGTATTTCTTGTGTGGGTACCAAAATAACGTCAGCGGTTTGGAGGAAACGCGGCTTCACTATAATGGAAACAGAACCACGAATATCAGTTTCTGAAATTGAATGCTTTAATCCAGAATGTGTTTGGGGATCAAATGTGGAGGATCCAAAAACTCCATGGTTTTTTTTTTCCTACTATAACAAGAACAACTGCAAAATATGCAAACCATATGATAGTGCTGTAGATTGTTACTTTTACTGCTATTGCTATTAATATTACCGTAACAAGGATCAGGATATGTCCACAGTCATCAATGGTTTATTAACAATGATGTAAAAGCCATGAGAAAATACACACTGCTGTTTGATGATTCACATGCCATGACCATCGGGAAAATAATTCTATTGGAAAAGGAATTAGGGGGAAAAAGGTGTTCTTGGAAAATGTTGCTAAGGAAAATTTAATGCTTTTTTTGCCAAACATAAAGCTAGACCTCTAGAATACACCTGACCCGAACCCTGACCTCCTGGCTTTCTGAATTCTCAGGCAACATGATTGACATGCAAGTAGACACTCTTCCTTATCCTGATTGGCTGGATGTTATCGGTTCACATCACGAGTTTCTTCGCCCGGTCACAGAGTCAGTGCCACAGAGACGAGAGTTTCTTCTCTGAGCTGATGTTTTACTGAAGATGACTGAAGAAATTCGCCAAATATTATATAAATCTCTTCTTCTGAACACTGATTTGATACATCAAGGTTAAACCCGGTTGACACGTAGCCTTTATTCAGCACATAACAGCATTTTCTTCTAAAAAAAAAAAATCTCTCAGCAGTCATCAAGGGACGTTCACTTAAACGGCTAGCATTGACAGTGACTGATGGGCTTAGATGAGATAAATCCTACTAAGCCATGAATCTGCACTTAGATGGAGGTGAGAAGAGGCTAATTACGCACACACACACACACACACACACACACACACACACACACACACACACACACACACACACAGTTATCTGTATGGTAAGGTGACTTGACCCTGTGCCAGTCCCTCTGAAAAGCAGATCAATTCTAAAGAACAGTGCATAATAATTGTAGCTCTCAGCACCAAAGCACAAAATGAAAAAGCTTTAAATTCACATCTATGCTAATGTAAGTGAGGTCATGACCTGGCAAAAAAGAAAATAATAT